ACAAGCAAGCAAGCAAAATATAACCAGAGACATTGAAATTAAGAACAATCTGACAGTAACCAGAGGGGAGGTGGGAGGGGGTAATGGGGGAAAAGGGTGAAGCGTTTCCAAGAACAAGTATAAAGGACACATGAACAAAACCAAGGAGGGGTGGAAACAAGTGAGGGAGGTGAGGATGGCTGGGGTTGGGGGTGCAGTGGTAGTGGGTAAATGCAGACAACTGTACTTGAACAATGATAAAATAATTTAAAAAAAAATGAAAAAAAAAAAAAGAAAGTGAGAAGGCAACCCATACATTGGGAGAAAATACTTAGAAATCATGTATCTAATAAAAAACTTGTATCTAGAAGATAGGAAGAACTCTTACTACAAATAACCTAAGATTTAAATAGGCAAAGAATTTGACTAGATATTTCTTTATATATATACTCATAGCCAACAAGCACATAAAAGATGTTTAGAATCATTAATCCTTAGGGAAATGCAAATCAAAACTGCAATGAGATACTACTTCATATCTACTAGGATAGCTGAAATCAAAAAAGCAGACAATAACGAATGTTGCTGAGGATGTGGAGAAATTGGAACCCTCACATATAGTTGAGATTGTAAAATACTGTAGGCATTTTAGAAAAGTTTGAAATTTACTCAAAATAAAATTACCACATGACCCAGCGATCTCACATTTAGGTGTGCCCCCAAGAGAGAGAGAAATGAAAACAAGCACACAAAAACTTATACACAAATGTTCAAGCCATCATTAGACATAATAACCAAAAAGAGGAAACAACCCAAATGGCCATTAACTGATGAATGGTTAAGCAAAATTAGCATATCCACATAATGGAATGTTATTCAGCAATGAAAATAAATGAAGTACTGATATACACTACAGATTAATGACTTTTAGGGATTGGGCTGAGGGGAGAATGGAGAGAGAAGGCTAAGAGGTCTGGGGTTTTTTGGGAAGCGATACAAAGATGTATATATGTATGTTCATAAAAGATTTATTTGTAATAGTGAAAAACTAGAAATATACCAAATGTTCATCAACATGATATACTCACACAGGAATAAAAAGAAGTGGATTGTTGATGCATTCAACAATATGGATGAGTGTCATAATAGGTATGCCAAATGTTAATATCGATCAAAAACCCTACAGCCAACATCACACTTTGGTGAGAAGCTAGAAGCTTTCCCACTAACATCAGAAAGCAAGCAAGGATATTTCTCTCACCACTCCTTTTCAACATCATATTGGAAGTCCTAGCTATTACAATAAAATGAGAAAAGGAAATAAAAGGTATATAGATCAGGAAGGAAGAAATAAATTTCTATTTGCACATGACATGATTGTCTATGTAGAAAATCTAAAAGAATCGACAAAAAAATTTCTAGAACTAATCAGCAATTATAGCAAGGTTGCCAGATACAAGGTTAATATACCAGAGTCTATTTTTATATATATTACCAATTAAAAAGTGCAATTTGAAGTTAAAAACTGCCTCCAAAAATGAAATACTTAGATATAAATCTAACAAAATATGTATAAAATTCATCTGAGGAAAACTACAAAACTCTGATGAACAAAAAAAAAAACACAAGAATTTGAAAATGGAGAGATAGTTCATAATCAAGAAAAGAAAGACTCAGTATTATTGAAAATGTCGTTCTTCCCAACTTGGTCTATAGATTTATCATAAACTTAATTAAAATTTCAGCAAGTTATTTTGTAGATATTGACAAACTGATTCTAATTTCTATGGGGAGGCAAAAGATCTGGAATAACCAACACAATATTGAAAGAAAACAAAGTTTGAAGACTGACGCTATCCAAATGCAAGGTTTGCTGTGTAGCTACAGTAAACAAGACAATGTGGCATCAGTGAGAAAATAGATAAATGACCAGTGAAACAGAATAGAGAGCCCCAAAATAGACCCACTTAAATATAGTCAACTGATCTTTCACAAAGGAGCACAGGCAATACACTGGAGCAAGGTAGTCTTTTTCACAAATGGTGCTGAAACAACTGGACAGCCACAGGAAAAACAGATTCTAGACATATACCCTATTCTCTTCATAAAAAGTAGTTCAAAATGGACTACTATAAGATAACATAAGAGAAAAACAAGATGAGCTTGGCTAAAGTGGTGACTTTTTAGATACAACACAAAGGCATGATCTATGAAAGAAATAATGGATAAGCTGGACTTCATTAAAATTAAAAGCTTTTGCTCTGCAAAAGACACTGTCAAGTGAATGAGAAGACAAGCTACAGACTGGGAGAAAATATGTAGAAAAGACATCTGCTGAAGGACTTTTATACAGAATATACAAAGAACACTTAAAAGTCCCAAAATAAGAAAACCAACAACTTAATTTAAAAACGGGCCAAAGATCTTAGGCACTTCACACACACACACAAAAAAGATATGCAGATGACAAAAAAGCATATGAAAAAAAATGCTCCAAATACAAGTTAAATATGACACACACCTATTAGAATGGTGAAAATCCAGAACATTGACACCACCAAATGCTAGCAAGGATATGGAGAAATAGTAATTCGTTCTTACTGTGGGAATGCAAAAGGGTACCACTATTTTGTAAAACAAGTTGGTGATTTTCTTTCATTTTTTTAAAGGATTTTATTTATTTTTAGAGAGAGGGCAAAGGAGGGAGAAAGAGAGGGAAAGAAACATCAATATGTGGTTGCCTCTTGTGTGCCCCCTACGGGGGACCTGGCCCACAACCCAGGCATGTGTCCTGACTGGGAGCCCAATCAGTGACCCTTTGGTTCATAGGCCCGCACTCAATCCACTAAGCCACAAAAGCCAGGGCCAAGTTGGTGATTTCTTACAAAACTAAATATACTCTTACCATATGATATAGCAATCATATTCCTTAGTGTTTATCCAAAGGAACTGAAAACTTACGCCCATACAAAAACCTGAACACAGATGTTTATTGCAGCTTTATTCATAATTGCTAAAACTTGGAAGCAACCAAGATGCCCTTCATTAGGTGAATGAATAAATAAACTGTAGTATAGCCAGAGAAAGGATTATTATTCAACCCTAAAAAGAAATGAACTATCAAGCCATGAAAAGACATAGAGGAAACTTAAATGCATATTATGAAGGGAAAGAAACCAATTTGAAAAGGCTATATACTGTATGATTTCAACTATATGAGGGGAGACCCAGAAAACAAACCCATAATTATCTTCTGACAGGTGATAAGTACAGGCTTTCCCCTCTAGGTGAGTGTTCAAGGAACCCATCTGTATCAGTTTACCAACTGGTGGTTTTGTGAGAGGCTGTGTTTGGCTTCAGTAATTTTTTTTGAAGACTCAACATGTTTGCCCATTTCATGATGGGTTATTTATAAGTGTACCTGCCCACACTACACTGAGTATTCAGCATTTCTTGACCAAAAACGGCATGACCCCCATACCCCACACTCCCTATTCACCCAATCTCACCCCAAGCAACTTTTGTTTCCTTGGATGAAAAAAAGTCCTCAAAGGAAACATTTTTGCCAATGTGGAAGAGGTGAGACAAAAAATGGCAGAAGCACTGAAAGGCATCAAAACTGATGAGTTCAAAAACTGTGTTGAGCAGTTGAAAAAATGTCTCAGTAGGTATTGCATCAAGTGGGGAGGACTTTGAAGGTGACTAAAGTTTAAACATGTAAGAATACACAACTTTCATAAAGAAATTCTGGAGTGTTTTTGGGTCCCCCTTCATATGACATTCTGGAAAAGGCAAATTATGGAGACAGTAAAATGATCACTAGTGGCCAGTGGTTGACTTGGGAAGGGACGAATAGACAGATTGCGGAGTATTTTTAGGTCAGTGAAACTTTTGTATGATACTGTAATGGTTAGTATGTGTTATTACACATTTGTCCAAATGCAATGTACAACACCAAGAAAGAACCCTAATGTAAACTGTGGATTTTGAAGAATTATGATGTACCAATGTAGGTCCATCAATATAACAAATTTAACACTGTGGCAGGGAACACTGGTAATAGGAGAGATGATGCATATGTGGGGGCAAGGTATACTTGAAAAATCTCTGTATCTTCCTCTCAGTTTTGTTGTGAACCTAAAACTGCTCTTAAAAATTCTTTAAAAAAATAAAAGAAATGAATTATTGATACATTTAACAATATGGGCAAATAGCAGCATAGTTATGCTGACTTAAAGAAGCTAGACCAAAACAAACATGTATATTCTCTATTATTCCATTTAAGACTAAAAAACGCAAGCCAATCTACAGTGATAGAAAGTAGATCAGGGATTGCCCACTAACAGGGGCCTTGGAAGGGCTAGACAGGATTATAAAGAGACCTGAAAGAACATGTACATGTTCATCTTCTTGATTGTGGTGATGGTTTCAAAGCTACATATGATATGGCATCATGGATGAATACATATGCCAAGATTTACGAGAGTGCATATTGCATATCAATATAACTTAAAACTGTCTTTTAAAGATATGAATTTGATGTATAAGTTAATGTCAAAACAAGAAAAAAATTGACCCTCAATAGTTTGTCTGTATGTTAAATATACAAAGCAATATACTAAGATGCTTCATGAAGAGACACTGAGGATATGATTGGTATATAGGATGATTTCTAAAAAGAAAACATTGTGAATACCTAGAGGACTAGGGAACTGGAGAAGATAGAATGAGAAGGCATTTAAGTAAGGACCTTTTGAGGCACTGTTGTCCTTTTCTTACTGGTGTGAGTCAATATTTGATGCTTCAGTGGAAAGTAATTTTTCCCCTTCATCTTACCTTCCAGTGTTTCTTTTCCATGTAACTCTTCCTAAGTATTAGGGAATAATTTAGTGTTTTGTCCCTGACTCAGCTGTAACTACTTGGAGTCCAAAGCATAAATTCTCAGGTTTCATCTCTTAACATCCTTACTGAAAATGCCATTTACCTTAGTCTGCCTAATCCCCACGGCTTGTTCTCCTCAGTCCTACACACCTCCAAGCAACGAGTTCAAGATCAGCATGAAACTGGAGGCACAGGACCCCAGGAATACAACATCCACCTGTATCGCCACAGTAGTTGGACTGACGGGTGCCCGCCTCCGCCTTCGCCTTGATGGCAGTGACAACAAGAATGACTTCTGGCGGCTGGTTGACTCAGCTGAAATCCAGCCTATTGGGAACTGTGAAAAGAATGGGGGTATGCTGCAGCCTCCTCTGGGTGAGTAACTAAGTCCAGCCCTCCTTAACCAATTAACTATCTCCCCAAAATTGTACATCCCATTATAGGAAAGCCTAGGGTTTTCTGCCTATCTCTTCTTTTTCATATGATTCTTCCTCCCGCAAAAAAGCCCACCCAAAATAAAACGAGCTATAAAATCTGGACATCTGCATCACTACATTAATTTATAATATTCCAGCATGTTTTCAAACTCCCCTTTTTCTAACAAAAAAAAACACACTCTTCTTCCTTCTTTGTAAGTTCCCATTTACCCTGATAGAGTGGAAGGAGATAATGCCATTTAATCTGCCTCAAAAACCATAGAGCTTTTATGAAATCCTACAATAACAACAAAAAGTGAGGGAAAAATCTCTTAGTAGAAAGGATGACTGTTTCAAGGTTCCCTTATCTCCTCTCCCCTAAATTCTCACTTGGTCCTAGGAATTTTCTCACATTGAATTAATTATTCAGTAAAGTGCATTATTTTACTTAAACTAATAACCCTACTAGATTTTATCAAGATCAGATTAACTGTTTTTTTTGTCTTAGCGTGCCTGAGAGATATAGCCCATCTCTTCAGTTATTACAAATGATTACCGAAGTGAGTCTCCATGGATGACAGAGAGATGGGCTATGTGGTGTGGACTGTGTTCCCACCAGGAGGCTGTGCTAGATTAATTGAGCGTCAGAGAACATGTATTGTTTGAAAGCATTCCCCAGGTTGTTATTTAGCGTTTCCCCCATTAGAAATTATTTGTAATGTAAAATTTCAAATATATACAAAGGTAGAAAGAATAGCAATGTGAATGTCCATGTATCCTTTATCCTGGATAATTATCAACACAGAGTCAGTCTTGTTTTATATATATATCTTCACTCACTCCCTGCCCTCTTGTGCCCAGTTGCCCAAATATAGTATCATTTTGTCATTAAATATAGTGTGTATTTCTCATAGGCAATAATTTTAAATACAACTGTAATAACATCACATGTAAATAAACTAATGATAATTTTTAATATCAACAAATTGTTACTCAGTGTTTAAAGTTTTCCTATTTTCACTCTCTCTGTCTGTCTCTCTCTCTCTCTATTACAATTTCTTTGAATCAGGATCCAGATAAAATACACATATTGCAGTTGGTTGATATGTCCCTTAAGAGTCTTTTAACCTTTGGGTTCTTTTTCTCTTCTAATTTTTTCTCGTAATTTATTTGTTGAAAACCTAAGTCATTTTGCTGATTGTATCTCTATACTATCACTTAACATGTTTCTCTATCCTTTTTTCTAGAAATTATTAACTAGATCTAGAGACTTGATCATGTTCAGGTTGAATTTTTTTCCTAAGAATGTTTCATAGATGGTGGTGTTTACTTCTATAGGAAGTATATATAGTCTGATTTTCTCTCATTTTTATAATGTAGCGGTCAGGGATTGACAGATTTTCTTAACAGGTCAGATGGTAAATATTGCAGGCTTATGGGCCATAGATTCTCTATTGCAGCTACTCAACTCTGTCTTTGCAATGTGAAAGCAGCCATAGGTAATACATAAACAGACAAGGCTGTGTTCCAATAACACTTTATTTACAAAATGGGTGATGTGGCCAGCCTGCTGGCTGTAGTTTACTGACCTGTGATTTAGGTTCATCAGTGTATTACACTTGTAAAATGGGGAATTTTAATCTTATCATTTCATCCATGTAAATTAAGTGGAATACGCCTATTAAAATAAACTTTCATCAACTATTTGGTTATCCTTAGGCACAATTCATGTAAGAAAGATGGCTTAATGCTTGATTCTTTTCTTTCTCTACCAGTATTCAAAATAATGAATTGCTTTGCTAACAACCTCCAAAAAATATTTAAGAAGCGTTTTTTGTTGTTGTTTAGTATCATAAACTCAAGAATTTGTACATATTTGATGTTTTTCACTTCATTGCACTAATTGTTTATTGAATTGTCCCATCTTTAGCCTCCAAAGAGCCTCATCAAGTTGTTTGCTGGCTCTTTATTATTTGATAGCTTTCTTGGATTTTTGAAATTTCAAAATGTTTTTTGCTCATCTTGTACATTTTTTGGCCCAAATAAGGAATCAGCTATTTCTTTTAGCTGCCTAGGCTCTTTTTAGTGGGAGGTGGTATTTAGATACCATAATTTGAGCACTAGAGTGCTCAGTGCTGTTGAATTGGTCATTCTTTTTTGGTCTTTTTGGTGTAGAGAGGTAGAAACATCCTTTTTTATTAAGATAAAAAAGATCATTAGTTTATATTGATACTTTATACTGAAATGCAGGACAGTGGTATTTTTACTGATTTCATCTTTAGTCTTTTCAATCTATATCTCCTTTGTACCACCACAAAACTCTAGTTTTCCATGTCACTAAAATTAATTCATTTGTTTTATCCTACAATACACATACAACAGTCTCAGGATAACTATCAACACAACTACCATTATGAGAACTAAACAGTGTTTGAATTATTTACAATATTTTGCTTAACCTCAGGGGATGTCTAATAATGTTATAAGGTCATTTGGATTAGTTTTTCTCTGGGTGGTAGTGCTACTAAGTTGATATAAACTTAGATTCACTTGTTTCATTTTACTTTTGATTTTTAAAGATTGCTTTTTAAAATTTTTACTTTATAAATACATAAATAATGTACATTGTTTTTAAAGTGAAATCTATAAAACCAAGTATTTTCAGAGAAATCCCCTTCCTCCTGTTCCTTTCCTTTGTCATAGGTAACCATTTCCTTTTACTTTTATAGTTTATACTCCATTTTTTAAAATATAAACAAATATATCTGTGCGTGTATCAGTATATACATATATAGACATGTATCTTCTACCTTATAGAAACTATAGCACACTATACATACTTTTCTTATTAATTATATGTCCTAAAATGACTTCTTAGTAGTATCAAGATTTTCCTCAATCCTTTTTATAGTTGCATGGTACTGAATTATTCTCAACCTACTTTGTGAATCACTGTTTAGAAGTATCTTGAGAGGTTATTAAAAAATAAGGTCCCAGAGATAATGGTGACCAGCTAAATAAAAAATTTACCATAAAGTCTTTAGAAATGTACAGATCAAAAAGGAGAGTAAATCAAACCACCCACAACTCATGTCTAAACATAACCAAGGGTAAAGAATATCATAAGTTTCAATTACATGTTAGTTTACATATTCACTGGTGCCACAGCAGTAGAACTTGGTGGAAATTTGCCCTCAGGGCTTTGGGAAGACTGTTACAGAGAGGTGTCTCTCTGGAGAAACTCTGCTATAAACCCACTTAAGGTGAGGGAGAGTGATGCTGCTGTTGCTGGCTACTGGTTACTGCTTGTTCCATGCACTGCAGGACGTGGACAACAGAGAAGACTGAGGTGCTGCAGGAGCCTGCCAAGCAAAACACAGGAACCAGAAAGCAAACCTCTTTTCCTCTGTAATAACTTTAGATGGTATCAAAGGCTATCACTTAAAACTGATAAACCAAATAGTAGAAGCACAGATGAGGAAAAAGAGTGTTAAGGACATCATAAAATATGTTAATATAAAGGTAACCACTAAAACAAAATCCTAGAACTTCCTAAATACCAAAAGAACAAAAAGATCAAGAAAAGACCACACAGAGAAAGAAATAAACTATTTACAAAAAACACAGGAAATAAAACAGAATTGAGACCAAATGCATAATTTATATGAATAAATGTAATTGCTTTTAACTCAACTCTTAAAATAATTTTTAGATTAGTGCTCAAAGTCAACCCCAACTTTATACTGAGAGTAGGAGACATACCTAAAGTGAATCACAAAAGCTAAAAATAAAATTCTATCAAGGGTACACCAAGGAAATTCAAGTTATATAATAGCAGAGGTTATAATTCTGGTATTAGACAAGGTAGAATTCAGACCACGATGTATTAAACCAGACAAAGAAGCAACTTTATAATGGTTAAAGGCCTCATAATTCACAGTGCAAGTATAATAGTTAAAAATACCTCAGTACCAAATTACAAATCATCTATCTCACAAAATAGAAATTATGGTACGTGCAAAGAGAGATAGACACACTAGTAGGAGATTGAACACATCTCTCTTTAGGTAAGACAGTCTAAGAGGACAAAAAATAAAGGTATTTGAAGACTTTAATGAATAAGGTAGACTGTGTGTGTGTGTGTGTGTATACATACCAAGTTTTATACCCTGGTAAATACCCTTTCTATTTGAAATTTAGAACTCTTTATTTAAAAAACAACTCTTGCTCAAAAAAAGGTGAATATAAACCAAAATTGTAAAATTCCTAAAACATAATGATAATAAAAATCATATGTCCAAATTTTGAGATACAGTTAAAGTAGTGGTTGGAAGAAAATGTATAGCCTTAAATATTTGAAATCAATAAAAATGAAAGGATAAAAATTTAAAGATTTTAATTCCCAAGTCAAAAATCTACTAAAAGAGTCACAATACAAAGAAAAGACAAAGGAGGAAGAAAAATAAAGATAAAAACAAAATAATGAAGTAGAAAACAGAAAAGCAATAAATCAAAACACCAATCCATTGGGGGGGGGGGAATTAACAAAATACACAAAGCACTAGTTAGCCTAATAAGAAAGGAATAAGCACAGATACACAAAAGTAGAAATGACCAAGAGGAAGTAGCTCTAAGTAAATTTGAAAAACTAAAAGAAATGGGAAAATTCCAAATTGACCCAGTAGCATTACAATGTTTTAATTAATATGTAGAAAACATAAGTTTTCAAAGAATTGTACCTATAAAAAAGCACCACATGCAGATTATTTTACAAGGAAATCCTACAAAACATTAACAGTCAGATAATTTCAATGCTACTTTAGTTGTTGTAGGTCAGTGATACCAACAGAACTTTTTGTAATGATGAACATGTTTTATATCTGTGCTGTCCAGTATGGCAGTCACCAGCCACATATAGCTGTTGAGCATTTAAAATGTGACTACTGTAACTGAGGAACT